TCTATCCCACGTCTTCCTTTTCTTACGGAGAAGAATACGGACCTCCCTACTGAACCATGGTGGAGAGTTTTTCGGTCCCTTTGGTATAGTCCAAGGGATGTGACGTGTGGTAACTTTTAAGTATGGATTTCGAAATGCGTCCCAGGCCGTTTCAATGGAGGACTCTGGGTCTATTGTCCAATCTATTAACGATGCTGAGTCCATGATGGCTGGTATGTTTGCTTTCCAGACGTTGGGTCTGGACTGGACTGATGCGTCCTCATGACTGACAGTTATATGGAAGTCGAAAGTTAAAACTGCGTGGTCACTTTTACCTAAGGGTGGCATATGTTGGAGGTTCGCAACATCATCCTCATAGTGGGTCAGTATAAGATCTAATAAGGATGATTCAGTGTCCGGATCGTACCTTGTTGCTTCTTTCACATGTTGTACTAGAGCACATGTGATAATCCCATCAACTAGTTCCTGCTCGAAAGAATTCTCCGACGATTTAATTCGCAGATTTTCCCAGTCTACCATAGGTGCGTTAAAGTCCCCTAGGATTAGACATCGACCATTTTGGGACCAAGTATTGAGACTGCTTAACAGGATCTCATTTGCCTCACAGCTTGGACTGCGATAGACCAAACTAATCAGCAGCTCTTGTCCCTTGCATTTTAGGCGAAGACTAACTAATTCACACGTCCCACTCTCATGAAATACACTATCGATAATGGTAAATGAGATAGCATTCCTAATTAATAGAGATACTCCCCCTCCTTTTCACTTTTGTGTTCTGTCGGCCCTTACTAACGTAAAGCCCTCGAAATCAAGTTCTATACTATCTATAGCCTGAGTCAGCCAGGTTCCTGTTACGGCGATTATGTCTGGCTTTGTAGAGTCAATCTGTACACCTAGTTCCGATCGCTTATTAAGTAAGCTTCGTGCATTGGTGTAACAGATCCGAAGCCTGTTTAAGTGCCTTCGTGCATCACCCAGAGTGGCTTCGGCATCATTCTCTGTCGAAGTCTTACAACCCGAAAATTTACAACTCTCAGGTCCTTTTCGCCAGCGTCTAACCTATGTTGTAGTTCTTTCACGGCTTCCCGTCTTTTAACACGGTCTGCCAACGGTAAGTCCTTTCGGATAAAGACTCCTGAACCCTTTAATTTGTGCCCATTTTGTGAAATTTGGTCACGTTCGTTCGAAGAGCCGAATATTACTTTAAGCAGTCTGGAATGATTTGGTTTCGAGTCCGTTAGACTCCCTAGTCTGTACACCTTTAGCAAGGTGACCCCGGTCATATTTTGAGGCATGAGTTGATTAAGCAGCTGCATAATCAGTACAATGTCATGCTCAAAACGAGCCTTAGCTTCAGAGCTATCGCTCTCCTTGATTCTATGAAAAATAGCTGATCTGTTGCTATGATAAGCTTTCGATTTTTCAACCACTTTTACGGGGGCAGGTTTCCCTTTTATATCCCTACTTTTCTTCCTTACAACATTTACCCATTTGTCAACGGTGCTGGTAGAAGCAATAACAGTTGAGTCAAACCTAGTGTTGGGTTTTGGGGGGTTGTCGACGACCTGAGGAGTCGTGTTATGTTTACTGTTTGAAACCGATCGAGCCTTGCGATTGCGGTTTCTAGTTGTTTCTTGTTTGATCCCATCTGGGAGACGGGGAACAGAAGACCCTACTTTTCTTGAGCTTTTGTTTAAGGCAGGCCTCTTTGGAGACTGCTTTTCCTTCTTTGACAGGCGTGAGTCATCTATCACCGGACTAACCTTAGTTTCCTTCACGTTGATTTGCGTGTCGACAGATCGAGTGCTGCTTGACGCGTTCCGACTATGCTTGCTAAAGCACTTCTTTGCAGCATCAACCAGTGAGATGGCCTCGGTTAGCAAGCTGTTTGCATCCGAGCAGCACTGTTGACAAAGCCACACACAACCCTTCTTACTGTACCGTTTGAAAGCAGCAGGCGTTAAGTTCGTGCAAACTTCGTGGTACCAGCCTTTGCACTCATCGCACTGCATGCCGCTTTCAAAAGGATAACGACAACCCGGACGTTGACAAGTGCTTTTTTACACTGTCCGGTCATTTAGGAGGGGTTCTTTTTTAAACAGTGATGATACTCGGAAACAAAAAAAATTTATTTTTGGCCAAAAGTAAAGAGCTGTAGATTGCTAGGACCAAAAATACTAACAGACACAGTTGAAAAAGAGGTACTCAAGAGTATCAACGACAAAACAGTAAAAACGATACTTCAGTCGAATACTTTAACTGAAATAGTAGTCTTGATACGTAATAAACGATCAAAAGAAACAAATTTATTCAGCGAGGAAAAATACCACTGTCCTTTTTAAATAGCGCGATGAATGTGTATATATATAAAGATTCAACATTATTTCGTGGGGGAGGATAGTCTAAACGTCTATGGTTCAAATTCTAAGTAGCAGATGTTTCAGTACACAACCGACATGATGATTGTACCAAATCTCAGGAAGCAGATGAGTCTGTTCCGATTTCGTTTGTTAATCCTAATCCTAATGAGTGGATTCTAGATAATTGAGTTTTTATCCAATAAAATGTCGGACAGACAGGGGATGAACTTGAGAAGAAAACGTACAATTGATCACAGACACCTAGACTCCAGTTTAAGCTGTGGCAGATGTGGTGTTTGAATGAACTGACGATTTCTTTGTACTTGTTGAATGCTTGGTTTCAAACTCTAAATACAGTACATTCGTTGGTGGTTATCTAGTACTTCTTGATCCGATTACGTTATTTCTGGGATTCCTCATCAATACTATAATTCAAATACTTCTGATTATCTCACTGGAATATCAAAAATTGTAGAATGAAATTGTTCAAATTTTCTTGAGTTTGAGACTTGATTCAATGCACTACCTTGATTTCTGGCTAGCAAGCCTGATGTGACTCGACTGTTGAATAAAAAGTAGATGTGGAAAAATATTGTAAGAAGTAATGGTTAAAAATATACCAATTATCAACATATAATAAACCAACTAAAAAGTGGAAAAAGTAGTGGAGACTTATCCAAAAGTAAATTTCTATAGAAAAAGGTATTATAACAACGGAAATTCCAATATTTGGTGCGAACGTGAGGGAAGATCCAACAAACAAAAGTTTAATCGATTAAGCTAAATTACGTTCTTTGGTTTTATCATACAGATCACTTTTGGATTAATTGCTTTAAAGACAGACTCTGTGCTTGGTTTATTCGATCCTAATTTATCAAAGAAAACAAATTATATCAAAATGACAAAGTACCTCGAACAGTATAGCTTGTGCTATACGATCAGACGTTTTCCCAGAACAAAACAGTGTACTAAATAGCATAAAGTAAAAATTAGGTTTCTCAGAGTCAACGAGACTCGTACTAACAAGATGGGACCGAACGTCCTTCCGGAAGAATATGAGGCATTATGTCCAGCAGACAGTTGAGGGTTAACAATGGTCAACCACTCTATGACGTAATCTTAATTTCAATAGAACCCGACACTATCGTCGATTGACCAGGACCGTATAAAAACAAATTTAAGTACTAAAGGTAAATCTTAGTCAAAATTAAATAATAAAGGCCTAGACAAAGAAGATTTAGAAATATATAACAAAGTTGCAATAGTCCTGAGTGGAAGAAGCACAATTTTTCAGCTCATTGTGATATTACAAAAAGTACTTCAGCTGCTTCATATATTCGAATATTAAGTGTGCCAGAGAAATATTCCATGAAATTACACTCTCAAAAGAGAGTCTAAAAGTTGATACAAAAAGAATATATCGAAATTAAAATAAACAATACTTATGGACAGAACAAATCTGAATGAAAGTCAAATAAGGGAAACACTTAATCCTAACAATAGCGTTAATTCATTTAATTTTGAGAAACCATTCAATGTTTATCACTTAAATTATTATAGCCTACGGTGCTTCAATACCTGATACACAACCCACGACTTACAGGCCTCAGAGTTCCTAGTCCCAATCCCCGTTAAAATCATGGGTGTACACAACTGGAGAGTCCCTACACTAAGAAGAAACAGCTGTCTAGTGCTTCCTGATTCTTAATGGCTACCTAAACCCAGCTTGTGATGCTAAACTACAAAATCTAACAATCTCTATTATCCTCAATATATTTCTTCACTTGCTTTGGATGGTCTTAGAATTACATGTAACAGTAGAATACATATACTCCTAACAGTTATTGAAGAAAAGATCAAGAGGTATTGAGAAATTTCACAGAAAGGCTATAGGGTATTATTATGGTCAATTCGTAGGTCTTTCCAGTATTTAGATGATGAAATGTTTAGATTACTATACCCGATTTATGTGCGACCACATTTAGAATACCGGATTCAATCAGCGTGTCCTTGTTTCAAATATGAAGCAGATATGCTAGAAAGAGTCCAAAGACGAGCTACTAAGATGGTACAAGGTCTATCTGGCCTGTCTTATGAAGACAGACTGAGACACCTTAACCTATTTCCGTTATCTTATCGTAGAATAAGGGGTGATCTAATATTGGCCTATCGTATACTGAACGATGACCTTGGTATTAACATGTCTTATCTTTTGCTCCCGTCTAGAACCGATCATTTGAGAAGACATTCGAAGAAAGTTTAAAAACCGAGATCAAACCGTTCACGTCTGGAGTTCCGTTTCTCGCACCGAGTAGTGAATTACTGGAATTCTCTACCGGAACACGTAATATCAGCACCATCTGTTAATATATTCAAAACGAGATTGGACCTCCACAGTATTACAAACTGCGAGGATTAATATAGGTCGACAGACTTCCTATCCTTATTACTGAAGACTGAAGTCAGAATAGTGAAGTTATTCATCAAGTGCATCAACCATCGGTTTTATAACAGAGTGCATCTTTTGGAATCATGGCCTAATCCACTTAGGCTTCTACCTAACAGCATTAGTAATGTCGTTCAACTAGTTACATGAGTTATTCAAGTGAAATATTATATTACATCGCAACCCGTTGAACATTTCACCATCTGTGAATGGCGAGGCGGCTTGTGTGAATTGCATTTTCAATGTCCTATAGCCTGCATGTTATGGGCATTTAAGTGAAGTCAGTTTCGTTTGTCCGATAATAAATGTACCCCTAGCATTTTTAACAATGCTCCACGCTATTTAATTCCCTCTTATCACCTTTCGCTCAAATACACATAGAGACTAAGTGTGTTGAAAATCCCCAATCTCCCGTTTTTCGGAATATTTTTATCAATTTCGAGGAATCTCCAATTGAGAATTTCAGTGGAATGTGGCCAAAGACCGAAACATTTCTCTTCGTCTGAAGGTTCTTTTCGAAACAACTTAAAACTTTGAAGAAATCCCAAAGATTTTTGGAGAAATATTAAGTTCGCTCGAAACACTTTTACTATGGAGAATTTTCGGGTTTTTAGTCACATTTCTCTAAAACCTTCCACTGGATATTCCTCGAAACTAATAAAAGCTTTTCCTAGGATAGTTTGGGGAATACAACATTCTATATAACTTTGGGTTGAACCGCAAAAGTCCCCAGAATTAAGCCATTGACTTCAATAAGTACCTAACAGAATCAGTTTAATATAGGTTGGACTGTTTTATTAACGAGTATACAAAGTTTAGTAGGAGTGTGACAACTTGAAGCAATGTATATGCATACATGTTCTAAGCTAATCAGAATTAGTCAATAGCACTTTGAAGAGTTGTATCAAATGCTTTTTTGAAGAAAATACCTATTTTATTTTGTCAGTCTGTTAGCCCCTCTTGAGCTAAAAACGTTCTTAGCATAAACTTGGAGATTTGATAATAGTGTATAGTTACTTGAAAACGTCGGTTGCATCTCGTCTAGTCCTTATGGTTTTCCATCTTAAATCTCAGGAATTTAGGGGCATCAAGCTCCTAAATGATCACCATGTTCAGATTGTAGCTAAGGAAAAAATTGTATCCGTTCCCGGAATGAACGTTCCTCTATCGTATATACATTGCTAAGATATTCTGAAAGTCCCAGTTATTATGCAGTCGCCATTGTGATCGATTCTGAGCCATGTCACTCAGAGTCTCCAACCATTGGTTATGATAGTCACGCTGACCCCACTGTAACTAGTGCATCCATCATTTTGAAAGTATTGTGTTGCTTCATATTTTTGGTTGTCATTTAGCCACACTCTTTTAATATCTAATTGTTAAAATACATTAGACGAAACCTCAATCCGGGTAGTTAGGAAATCTGAGTTCCTTGGGTCGTGGTACGGCCGATGGTGTTGAGTCACCCCGAAATGCTCTCACGGCCACGCATATACAGCCACTATCTTCTCACAACGAGGATGCTGTTTACAGAATTTGGAGGACGAAAAGCGAATGCTCGGCGCTTCAACCGGGTTGGTGGATGCGAAGGTTCCACTTAGGGCAGTTGAAAAACCCTGATTCCAAACCACTGGTACACGTGAACTCCATAATTCTAAGGAAACAAATGGCGTATGAACCTATCGTTGGTCACCGGCTACCATGGGACTGCATCTCCTTACGTTGCTCCACTGCCTTGGGGATTAGACCTTTAGGTCAAAGGCTTGGAGAGTGTTCCTCCAAAAGAACCACCTTCGGTTTGAGGACTTGATCAGGATGCCAGCCCTCACGCGAACCGAATGGTGAAGTTTGGTGCATATGTATTTGGTGCCTCTTTGTACCAATGTTTATGCGTTTAACTAAATAACAATTAGCTACGTCTGTGAATCACAGTTTTTCTGTGAAATTTCTCAATACCTCTTGATCTTTTCTTCAATAACTGTTAGGAGTATATGTATTCTACTGTTACATGTAATTCTAAGACCATCCAAAGCAAGTGAAGAAATATATTGAGGATAATAGAGATTGTTAGATTTTGTAGTTTAGCATCACAAGCTGGGTTTAGGTAGCCATTAAGAATCAGGAAGCACTAGACAGCTGTTTCTTCTTAGTGTAGGGACTCTCCAGTTGTGTACACCCATGATTTTAACGGGGATTGGGACTAGGAACTCTGAGGCCTGTAAGTCGTGGGTTGTGTATCAGGTATTGAAGCACCGTAGGCTATAATAATTTAAGTGATAAACATTGAATGGTTTCTCAAAATTAAATGAATTAACGCTATTGTTAGGATTAAGTGTTTCCCTTATTTGACTTTTATTCAGATTTGTTCTGTCCATAAGTATTGTTTATTTTAATTTCGATATATTCTTTTTGTATCAACTTTTAGACTCTCTTTTGAGAGTGTAATTTCATGGAATATTTCTCTGGCACACTTAATATTCGAATATATGAAGCAGCTGAATTAAAACCGACAGCTTGTGCAACTCGTCATGCGGTTGGACCAGCTGCTAAATTATATGAACTTTTAGATCCCTATGTGACAATCGATGTGGATGATAATGCTGTTGGTAAAAGTTCCACAAAATCCCGTACAAATATACCACAGTGGAATGAAGATATTTGTGCAAGAATCAATTATGCTCAACAACTTACATTTACTGTATATCATGATGCTGCTATTCCCCCTGATGATTTTGTTGCCATCGTTGAATTGGCTTTACGAGATGTTCGATTTGGTGAAGATATGTGGTTGGAACTGGAACCTCAAGGAAAATTACTTATACGTATTGATTTGGCTGGTACGAGAACAGATGAACCGCCAAGAGACCGTCCAGGATTTCCTAGTCGAGATAGTGCTATTGGCGGCGTACATGGGAAGCATTATCGTTGTGGTGCACTTCGTCGTAGAATTCACCAAGCAAAAGGTCATAAATTTCAAGTTACAAGTTTGCGTCAATTTACATTCTGTTCATTGTGCAATGGATTTATTTGGGGTTTATGGAATCAAGGTTATCAGTGTCAAGTGTGTACATGCGTTGTTCACAAACGTTGCTATTTAAATGTAATAACTCAATGTCCTGGTGTAAAGTCACCTCCAAGTTGTCCAACAGCTGCTCTCCAAGTAAGTTAATTAAGATGACAAATGGATAATACTAGTTAGATGCATAAGTAAAGTTTACTAGTCCGATAGTGTAAATGGTCATCTTTAAATGTAATGTGGTTTATTTGAATTATGCTATAGCAATATCAATTCAGTGATTATTCAAACGATATTATCTTTATATCTCAGCATCATAGTCTATCACATATCAACACTACTAAGTCATGAGTTTGAATATTACTTCATATATCAAAGTTTAAATAACTAGATAGTATCAGTAACCATCCTTCCAACCTGTTTCATAAATACTTTCACATAACTAAAAGCTTGATGAGGCTGTGAATCTTCATCAACTGTGATGATTGGAAGGTTTTTTACGTATGCCAAACCACCGTCTACCTCGACAGGTAATGTTTGCTAGTATAAAAGTCGGTTGGATGAAAGCTACTGACTGCCTAATTGAAAAACGGCATTAATCTATGAAATCACAGACTGTTGATGTAAACCGTTTAGACAGATGCAGACCAGTTGGTTTAGGTTTGCTCAAAAACCGTGGCTAGTGACTGAAGACTTTGGGTGATAAGGTTCAGAATCTTTCACACTGCCACAGTTCCATCCACTCTTTATCTTTCACTCGACCTTCAATTCTAGTATTTCCTCATACATATTTTTACACTCTATCTTTTTGATTTATTTATTTTTATTTATTTGAACACATATATTGGTACAGGAGTGCGCCAAATATATATGCGCCACACAAAACAATGAAAATTTAAGAAGAAAAAACAATGAGGGATGTAAAAAAAACAATAATGAAGAGGTTGGTGTAAGGGAATGTAGTAATAATCATAGTCAGAATGAGGGAACGGAAAGGTATAAGCAGAAATCTTTCAGTTAAGGAAGAAACAACCACTTTTATGAAGAAAGTAAAAGGTTACAGCAGGATCGCCACTGGCTTCTATTCTGAGCCATATCTGATAACGTCTCTAGCCACTGTGTAGCACCATCTTTCGGACCCCAACCAGGGAGTCGAGAAGGACCGACACAAGCCAGCCCTTTGCAGCTTTCATACCACGACACCATGTCATATACTGACCACCTCTCCGCTTTCTCCAACCAGTCCCAGAGTCGGCAAACAATGCACGACGTGGAATTCTCTGGGACGACATTCGTAGAACATGTCCAAGCCACCGAAGTCGGTGTTTCAAGATGATGACACCAATCTTTTTGAACTATATTTTCACTCTTCAGTCTTACTTTTTGCTGTACGTTAGTGATAATTAACTAACTAATAGTGTTATATTCATTTTATTATCAAATGATCTAATACAAGTAATTTTTAAAACCTACAATTTCATGAGTAGAAATTCAATTTAAACTAATTCATTGTTTTACAATCTATCTAACACTAAATTTTCATTTTAAATCCTAGTTATTTTTTTTACACTAATTATCGTGATTTATAACAAATCTCTCCATGTAGAGAAGAGCTAAAGCATACAACCACCTCTTTCCTTCATGCTAAATTAACGGTGAGATAAAATGGTAAAGTTGATCAATTTCATTTTATTGACATTTCGGAAATAGCTTTGGTTAAAATGTGCAGTAACAGTACACTACTCCTTGGAGGAAAATGACAGTGATAGTGATTTCTCACTTCATAGTGAAATATAAGCTACATAAATCACAATTAATCAGTTGACGACCAACATTAGTTATTGTATATAATTTACACTGACGTAAACTACTACAAAAGCTATGGAAGTTTTTGTCTGGATCCACATTTTGTGATGAGCCACTTAAAATAAGTTCATTTACTCAAGTAACTGTTAGTATATGGTGTCGTTAGTTATGATAAATGAGATCGATCTACGTATAATAAAACCTATAGACAATTTGGTCAATCAAATAGCTTTACAGATAGCTATGCTATCTTTCACATCTTTTTTGTTTGTTTTTCTTTCTATCGTTTACTAGAGTCGCTTCAATATTAATGTTCCTCACAAATTCCGAATTCATACATTTATGCGTCCAGCATTCTGTGATCATTGTGGTTCTTTGCTATTCGGTTTAATGCGTCAAGGTTTACAATGTGAAGTTTGTCGTTTAAATATTCACAAAAGATGTGAGAAAAATGTTGCATCACATTGTGGAGTAAACACACGTAATCTAGTAGCTGCAATTCGACTATGTGGACTTAATCCATCTGATTTAGGTGTTAGCCCATCAGGTACAACTACACTGACACCAGGACCTGGAGTTACCGGTCCAAGTCGAACTGCAAGTACTACTATTTCTTCAGTTCGTCCTATATCGGCTGGTTCACGTGGTGTTGGTCCTTTCGGTGCTTACGGTGATGTCGTTTTCTCAACTTCACCTGGACCTTTAAAACCAAGTAAAGGTGATACCGGTTTTTCTAGGTGAGTGATAAGATTAATTTAGTTGAATCTTTCTAATATAATTATTAAACGTTTATACACTAATCATCAACATTAATCATAAAATACTTTCCCCTCTCTCTCAATTTATTTCTCCATATTTGGTGGTACGAGAGATTATCTGTTATAAATATATGGGCTACGTTAGGATGTTTTTTCTGTTATAGGTGTTGTTGAGTAATCCCCTGAGCTCGATTATTTAATCGCAGTCTTCATTGTTCTAGACACCATCATCAGGATAGACTTCATTTAGTAAGTGAGCTCTTATAATGTTACACTGTGAATGACGGCGAAAGCTCAGCAATTGAACCATCTAACCCAGAGAACTCATCAACATAAAAAATATCCACTTAAGCTACAAATCCTCATAATCTCACTTCGTACTAGATTGTAAACTTAATAAACTATAAAAAACATTGTACTTGTACTGTGTACTGTTCATTAAGCTATTTATATTTCCTAGAAATTATAAATCGATTTTCCGAGCAGTTATGAGCGGCAAAACCAAAACGTGATATTAGTCCATGAAATCGTCGATTAGTGGTCTGAGCTATGTAGGTAGATGCATACTACCTGGTTGATGTCAGAATGATAATCGTGATCAGCGGTTGAAGATGTTAAGTGACATAGCTCGAATTGTTTTCAGTGGTGCAGTTGCATTCACTCTATCTTCCCCTCGATTTTGATCTCCAGTATCCCTTCATTTTTTAAAATCATGTCCCTATGATTAAGTTTTAGCTTTTATCACAGCTGCTATATTATTTCACTCTTTCGATATTTTCAGCTTGTCATGCTAGTCAGGTATAGCAGTTTGGCTCAACACACAAACTGTCCCATGCTTTATGTCATATCATATTTATTGACTCTAAAAACCAAAATAATTATCTCAGCAACTGGATAGTTATTTATCCAAAAGCCTGTGTTAAGTTGTAGACAAAATTAATTTGCAATATTTCAAGAATTCTCTTAGCTGTTGTTGCGTTTGAAGAGATTATAATATCACCTAAACCCGGCGAACGGGACGAAAATCAACAGCACAACAGGATAAACTAAACGGTTCCATTGCACCCTAGCGCTGCTAACTAGAGGAAGAAGACTAGATTCAGCTAAGGGAAGTGTTTATTCCACAAACAATCGGAGAACGAACAAAGAATCACACAACATATGCGTACATAAACAGTACAAAAGTGTCCTTGGGAAACATCACAAAATAGCGTACTAAAAGCGGAAACAAACCAGTGACATTTAAGATGCTTCCAAGTAGGAAATACAAACTGAAGGTAAAAGTGGGTACTTTTAGTGCGGAAATGAGATATTCAAATTTCCAAAATAAAACTGCAAAAATGAGTCGTTTACCAAGTGATTTTTGGGGATCTAGCAACCCCAACAACTGTTCATATGATGATATTTTGCTGATCACAAAGTTATATCATTGTGGTATATATGCATATAATGTTTCTTTAAAAGTGAGTATACACCATAAAAATACCATTTACAAATGTAATCGCACCAATAAAGACATTATTAACTGAAAATCTGGTCTTTGTTGAGTGTGTACAAGCTGATCTCAAACGTCGAAGGAAAAAAATATGTCTTTTTCAACCAAATTGATTGTCGCATTAACGACTTGTTTGTTTTTAAATCAACATGTAGTATATATTTTAATGTAGGATAGGTTTAAAGCTATAAATTTGTAGAGAATTTAAATTAATCCTAAAATCGTTTAATTAGATATCACAATTTTGATTTTATATTATTATTCGTTTGAACACTTAAATATTGGTACAAAGGTGCACCGAATACATGTGCGCCACACAAGTCACTTTGTTTGTGTATGGGCTAGGATACTGCCCGGGTGCCCAGATCGAAGCAGGTGGTTTTCTTAGAAGGCCACACCCGGAGCCTTTGACCCAAAATGTCTAACCCACAAGGCAGTGGAGCAGTTTAAGGAGATGCAGTACTATGGTGGCCCGTGACCAACCATGGGTCCAACCCCCTAGGTGGACACGAAGGGTCCACCGACATTCGCTTTTCGTCCCCTTAACTTCGTAAACAACATACCACCACAAAAAGGCAGTAAGTAGGACTCCCCTGGCAGTGGCTGTATGCGCATGGCCACGTGAGAGCATTTCGAGAGGAAGAGTTAACTCTCCTCACCCTCGAGCGTACCAGGGCATTTTGATTAATATAAAGAAATCACAGTAACAACTAAACAATATTATAATGTATTCCTACTTAATATCTATTCAACTTGTATATTAACATTCAAATATACATGAATATATTTTCATTTAATGGCTTTTTTCTCATTAGCACATGGTTATATATTGAATGTTGTATGAACTCCAGTTCACTTCAATGATCCGTCATTTACAAAACGTGTATATATATTCTTCACTGTAATAATTCATTTCGTTTAAATTTAGCAGGAATTAGGGAATGATGGTAAATCAGTTGATAAGGTTGTGAATCTTCATCGACTGAGATGGTTGGGCCACGTGTTGTGTATGTCTGAACACCGATCACCACGACGTGCAATGCTAACCGGTGTTGGGGATGGTTGGAAGAAAGTTAGGGGCAGCCAAACCAAAACGTGGCATCAGTGCTTGAAGTAAATAACTTCTGGTCTGAACCGTGTTGGTAGATGCAAACTACTTGGTTCGGGTCCGCGTGACTATCATAACCAATGGTTGGAGACTCTGAGTGACATGGCTCAGAATCGATCACAATAGCGTCGGTGTATACACTTTTTGTCGTCCCTTGAACTATGGGATTAAAATCGCTTCATATCTTTCTTTCTACGAACTAATTCTTTCTTCCTGTACTAGATCCTTATATGCAATCTTTCTTTTATATATTGCCACCATTGAAGTAACTACTATGAATTTGGTGTTCATGGTGTTGTGCTAATGCGGTATGGCAACTTGGACCGATGTGCCTGGTCCTACATTGTAGCTGACTGACTAACAAGAATTACCTTCTGTTGGGGACGGTCTATCCCCTAATTTCATATTTGTAGTTTTATCATATCGATTAAATATTTGAATGCCTGTCAATTGAAGAACTTAATGAGTCATGTTTAAATAGAACATTTTACTATGACAAATCGATTATATATATATATTTGTATATATATACGTTTTAAATTGTGTTTGAGTACTCGCTTGCTCGCTCGTTTTCTGGCTGTTTGCAGAATATATTTTCCATACCAAGCTTGAACTTCTCCTTCTAGATAGCGGGGCTGTGACGCTTCAATAGTTAGATTACTGGTCTTTGGTCACTGAGTATTGTTCTTGTTCGCAGATTAAGTGAACTCGTGAAGCTTCAAACCTAACACCTTCACAATAGGTTTTAAACTATTTTATTTAAAAAAACTTTTTTAATACATTAGTCAATGATTGACAGAGAAAATATTTCTAAAAAGGTTTTGTAGTAGTTTGTCAAATTAAAAAGTGATATGGTGAGCTAATCAATAGTGTAATGAGAAGGTCGGCGAGACTATAATTTGTGGACGAGCCAATCAGATTTCAGATAACCGGTCTTGGATTTTAGCGCGAAATTCATCCTCTCATTTTTCTAAATACTATTTCGGCATTGTAGTTGGTTTCGGTTCGTGATGTAAACACTAAATCCAATTTCTAAACATCAACTGTAAATCATAATTCTAATTCCTCTCACTGGTTTATAATCATCATTTAGTCCTAGTTGGTAGTAGGTGGGCATTTTTAAGGTCACCTTAGAGTCAGTCACTCAAGGGCTGTCCATAAATTATGGTCTCACCAGAAGGTCAATCGATGGCAATTGGAAGTGACCTAAAACGAGAAGTGCATTTCATTAGCTAAGAAATGGGTCAATTTCCTAAGGATAGAGCATCATATATATAAATGAGGTTTTGTGCATTTTATTCCGTAGTCCAATATACTTTCTTGCTCAGGTAGTCAGTTGGGTGGTTAGCGCGTAGCAAACCGCGTATAACTATCAGATTTCGAATGCTGTCCGTCGCAAAAGAAATCAAATGACTTAGAAATTCGGTCACTATACCGATATTAATTTTATCTAGAATCGTAAGATTTGTAACTGTAACTATGAAATCAAACAATACATTTTTACACAACATTTATGATAACCAAATAATCCTACAATTGCTACTCATCCCTGTTCTATCAAGTAACTAAACTAATTAGTAATTAAGTAGTATGTTTTAATCTTGACTGATACGAACCACCAAGTATTGAATAGTGTACACTCGACTTTGAAATTCACTTCATATGTTAAGGGCTAGTGATCAAACATTTGGTATTATTTATATTTGCATTTTAATGTTCCCCTTATTGTAAGCATTTTCAATTATTTATTGTTTGCTTTGCTATCTGTCATACACTGCATGATTTTATTAAAAATATGACTTTATTTGGTGTGCTTTGTAGTCACACATTTCAAGTATATTATTGTGTGCATTTTGAATCATAATTCAATTGACTATAATAGGAGAACTTATTTGCTTCCTACCTTCGTCTGGTCTAAAAAAGCTCAATGATTATTAAGCGTTAACATTTTGTCTGTTGTTCATCGGTCGATTTGTCAATTGGTACTCAGAAGATCACCGATCCTACTGGCAAAATAATTAAACTAATCGACAATCAGAATCTTTATCGTTCAATCTAACACTTAATATCGATTAGCGTCTCACATCACACTGGAAACTATATCCTTATCCCTTTCTGTCACCATAGATATAAAGTAATTTGATCTTACTCAACATATACACATCATAATTCACTGTTCGTATAAAAATGAGGATAGCGTTTTAAGGTTTCAAGATATTTCCTACAGAGAATTTAATCACTTTTAGTTTGATGAATCTACTCCTATTCTTTTCCTTTTCTTCACAGTTCCTCATTAATTGGAGTCGCTCCTCACGAAAGATCACTTAGTTCTCCTATTTCCATGCCAACAACAGATCTCATTGGTAGCGGTATTGGTCGTGGTGCTCCTGGTGGTGGTAGCATGGACATAGATGAGCCGAGCAGCGGATATGCAGCATTAGATCCTACATCTGGAAGTGGTTCACTAAGCACTGCAGGACCAGTCGCTGGTCGACATGGAATGCCTGCTCAAAGACCATCTTCATTACAAGTATGCATTTTGCGGTAGTATTTGTCATCATGTAAATTGTGGTGAAGCTTCTCTCCTCTTAATAAACTGTTCGCTCATGACGCTCTTGGCGTACGGTTTCATGCAAGTCATATCGATTCTCTTTGTCTGAATACCATTAGTTTGGGTTGGAGCCTATAAAGAGCTGTTATGTGTTAGCTACTTCAAGTATAATCCTTTTGTATCGCTCATTACCTCCCTCTTTCTTTTTGTATTCAATATTATTATAGACATGCTATTGAATGGGAATATTGCATCATATCACATCTCAACGGAATAATCTACCGGAATTTCTTATTTACTTAACTTGATACTGTTTAGTGGAAACGTTGACAAGTTCCAAGTTTTTTGAACCCCTTGATAGACGGCAAAATGTTTGAATCATGTATCAGTCTATTCTTATTATAGAGAGAACGAGGTAGTAAAGCGTGTTGATGAAACTAATTTACACACAACATGACGAGTGATGAACAATAATAATAATACAAATGTCCAGCATTTTAAAAATACATATAATCATTGCAGAATATATATTTTTTACTGCTTCGATGGATGATACAATGAAAGATGTGTGCTTATTTGTAGAGTAATATATTGGGTACCAGTCGCTATGATTTCAGTTTCAACCCACTCACCAGATTTAAAGTTTACTAAATTGATAATTTTAAGAAACTCATTTCATTCATTTTTGTATTGGTTATTTGAACCTGCTCATTGATGTTTAGGACTGCAGTTGATCAATGTCTTATTGGCATATAGGCATCCTGTGCAGATTGCCTCGATATTGCCTTAAGTTACAAGCATTATAAGCGATGATGTTGGCTAATAGTGAAATCCAGGACGTGCGTTTCGTCCTATTTGGGACTCGTCATCTGGATGTGCCTGCATTCAGGCTAGTAGCTATCTGAACTCAGTAGCTAAGTGGATAACGCGATGGCGTTTGAAGTGAATAGTACTGGTTTCAAGTCCCGCGGTGAACATCAACTCTGGGATGCAGGTCCATCCAACCGACTAGTCCCAAATAGGATAAAACATGAATCCTGGAATCCACTGTTAGCCACTATCCATCTCTTCTTATAACTCTTATTTCAGTTAGCTCTTATCGAATTTTTTTCATTCATTTCTTAACACATTGTTATGTTCAAGTTACTGTTGTAGAACTCCTGTATTATTGTAATACTATGATCACTTTAATTGAATCATATGGTTTATGTATTTTTCTTCCTTTGTTCTTTTTTTAAATGTCTATATTAGGACCCTCCTGATGCGCATGGATGTACCACAGCTTCACAGATTCCTTGTTTAATGGATTTTACATTTCTCAAAGTATTAGGCAAAGGTAGTTTCGGCAAAGTAATGCTTGCTGAATATAAATCAACTGGTGAAGTATTTGCTGTAAAAATTTTAAAAAAAGAAGTTATATTACAAGATGAAGATGTGGATTGCACCTTAACCGAAAGACGTATTCTTGTTTTGGCTGCACATCATCCATTCTTGACGGCACTTTATTGTGCATTTCAAACTGAGGTAATATATAAAAATTGCTTTAAATTTCTCGTAAACATTGATACAGTTGTGACTTGATACAGCTACTTCTTAGAACTGAGGAAAAACTACTTGTTACCTCTTACACCTACCCTGTAACAAAATTAATTTGACTCAATGCAAATAAAAAGACCAAACTTCAAATCGGAATTTGTGATGCACCACAAATAAATGTACACTCTAACCAATTACCAATCAACACCTATATAAAAAATATACTGGATTGCTTATGATTTATGTATTTGGTCAATATTCAATAACTTAATACATATGTACAATGAACAAAAACAATAGATTTAACTGTATCCACTAACAATATAAATATTACTAAATTCTATATTTAATTGGTCTTTTCTCGACCCTTTCACCTTTTTTCTATTGAATTGGACTTGCTGTATGTGGGTCAGTCAGTTTAAAAATTGGTTATCCTTCGTAACAAGTATTGAAATACAGTGTTCGATTTTCACTAGACTGTTTATTTACTTAATTCAAATCTTATCTCAATACAAGATAACTAAATCATAGGTGATAGACAGAATAAGGAAACACTACAATCTGTTAGTGAGGTAAATTCTAACTGACCTTCATAGTTGTGATCCCAGCACGTTCGTTAGTCAGTTAGATGCAATGCAAAACCTAGAACAGGAGCATTGATTCAAGTTGTCACGCCGCATTAGCACAGCAAAATAAAATTATCAAGATAAATCTGAAGTACTAGAAGTAGTGACAGCACCAGTAGTAGTGTAGTAAACGAGAACACAGATGGGGACAACCAAATGAATTTGAATACAAAATTACAGAACGCCTTAGTAAAATCTGAAAACCATGCAGTAAATACTTCATTTGCAAAATATCCATCAATTGTTTCGAACTTTGTCGTCGTTCTTTTATTTTCATACCAATCACTCTCTGTCCTCGTTCTCTTCGATTTTCTTAGCCTTCTGCCAACAGGCATTCCACGTTCGATTGGTGATACATATTACTCACATATCTCGACATCAGTAGCACATACTACAGGAGTAGTAGTAGTTTATCTGTTTGTTTTTTTAATTTGTCTATGTTAGTTACTTCATCTTTTTTCGTTTGTCTCTTCACAATTTTATTAGTTTTATTGTCCAGTGAATTTTAATTTAATCCTCATTTACATAAACAGTTGTCCGCTCAAATGAAATAAATATTAGTTAACCTAATCCCCTTTTCTTTTCCTAGTTATCACTGTTTTTTAGGTGTTTAACTACTAGACATATACAGCACATTATGCACTCTTCATCTGATTCGTCAGAAGATGATGAAACTTATCTTGTATAACCAGTTCCCCCTATATCTAACCTTCATATTACTTTCTTCATAATTCGAACGTATTTGAAAAGGAATATCCTTTTTGATTACAAATATCCAAGCTTCAAGTTGTCATATCTACTGGGTTCCGTACTATTGACTCCTGTAAATGGTGACTAGTTAAATATTTATTTCATTGAATATGCCCAAGTCAATATTAAGCAATCTTTCAATAACTTCGTTTGTTTAACATTTGAGTTGCAACCTGTATAAGTAGATAAATATATCGATTATTCTATCAAGGTCATAGGGGAATGTTACTTTCGTTTACTTAATCTTTTTTATTTATTGGTTGATTATTGTGCTTACCTATCTCTATTTAAATGCACACTAAATAGGATCGTCTATTTTTTGTCATGGAATATGTGAATGGCGGTGATTTAATGTTTCAAATACAACGTGCACGCCGATTTGACGAGGCTCGTGCAAGATTCTACGCTGCGGAAGTTATCTTAGCTTTAATGTTTCTGCATAATCATCATATTGTTTATCGAGATTTAAAATTAGATAACATTCTACTGGATGCTGAAGGACATTGTAAATTAGCTGATTTCGGTATGTGTAAAGAAGGCATGAAACCGGGGCGATCAACATCAACGTTTTGTGGTACACCGGATTATATTGCACCGGAGGTTCGTTTTTTTTTCCCGTACAATTTTGTTATTTATATGTTTTGGATAATAAAATATCATTCTAACCTATTGTAACACTAAAAATTTTTAGGCTTTTAACGGAAATATAATTGTTACCAATTAAAGTTTAAGTTGACATCGATTGTATGTATAAAGTACACTGATGATAATTTATGAAGGATTGTAATAATTTTATTTATAAAGGAATATTGTTAACAATAGTGATTGCATAATGAGTCGGTGTCTCAGTGATTAAACCATTCAACTTTTAGTCACTAATTCTTCGTTTCAAACCCTTACTCTAACTACTTCGGTTTGAAAACCGGGTAATATCACTAGCCGTCACACTTAGAGTGTAGCTCAAATCATGTTAGACGGATCAATAATAGTAGCAACAACAGTAATGTTAGTTATTATTATTATTATTATAGTTTCATTAATCAATTATGCTGTTCATTATCTTAATAAAATTTTCTTAATTTGTATGTGAGCTTTATCTGAGACACAGTATTCTCGTCCATTCAACCTTTCAATTGTGAATATCTCGTATACTGTTTTAATGACATCAAATTTCGTCAATTTAATAAATGAATCAATAATATATCAATTTTTTGTGGATAAATATTCACTCTTTTAAATGTTTGACTCCAGATGATAAAAAGCTTAGTGTCTATGTAAATTTCTACATTCATATATATATATATATATATCTTTTTTCCCCAACAGATTCTTGCTGAACTTGACTATGGATTCAGTGTTGATTGGTGGGCCTTAGGTGTATTAATGTATGAAATGATGGCTGGTGCTCCACCATTCGAAGGTGATACAGAACAAGATTTATTTAATGCTATTTCTTATGAAGAAGTTACTTATCCGCCAAATTTGAATCCAGATGCTGTAGATATTTTATCAAAAGTATGGGCTTTCGATAATTCATTTTCGTATTTTTGTTTGTATGTGAAGAAGCATGTGGGATGATCCAATCTCTTTTATATTCAGTTTATCGTGATTTTCTTAGATATATCTGTTATTATTGTAGCACTCCTTGAAATTAGAGGATTTGTGTAAGGTTACTAGTATCTTGATTGTTATTTCGACAGATTGCAGCCCGGATGCAATCAAGGGTGAGTTTTACTACCAGTTATCTGTTCTTCTCCAGAAAGTGCGTTCGACAGATATTGTAGTACTAGCCGGAGACTTGAATGCTCAGGTCGAGCGTCTAGGCACAGAAGAGAGTCGTCTAAGTGGTCGATGGGGACTTGTTGGTCACAGGACAGATAACGGGGACCGTCTACTGCAACTATGCACAGACCACAACCTGTTTCTGGCTAGCACTAACTTTCGGCACAGTCATCGCCGATGTGCCACCTGGCGTCCTCCCTCTGCATCCCAAGCCTGGACTCAGATTGATCACATCGCGATCAGCTACCGCTGGCGTGGTTGTGTACAAGACTGCCGCTCCTTTTGGAGTACTTATCTGGACTCTGACCATGCCTTGGTCGGCTCCAATCTTACCTTACTTTTCAGTGGCCAACGAAGTGACCACCACCAACGGATTGATGTTAGCAAGCTGGTTGCAACTTCTGTTGCAAGTAAGTATCGAACCGAGCTGGCTTCTAGGCTAGTTACCATCCCACCGAAAAATATAGATGAGCATTGGTTGCAATTGCATGACGCCATGAAAATGGCGGGTACAGTCAGTTGTGGGTTTGCGAAACGTCCCGCTTATAAGCACTGGGTTTCTCCAGGCTTTTTACAACTCATTGAAACCCGTCGGTCTACTTCGGGTGGCCGTGAGTTTGACCACAAACGAAGGTTGTTACGTAGTGAAATTAGGCAAAGCTTGCGTAAGGACTGAGAAGCCTGGTGGTCGAAGCGTGCTAATGAGCTGGAATCAGCAGCTGCATCTGGTAACTACCGGAAGCTCTTCCAACTCATCCGAGCCACTGGCAGCAAGAAGTCTGATGTTAGCGAAACAATCTGCGAGGATGACGGAATGCCAATCACTAACATCCATCGACGTCTTGGACGATGGGCTGGATTTTTCGAAGGGCAGTTCAACTGGCCTGCTGCTCCGGCAACATCGGTCAGACTGTCCTGCCCTCCATGGCCAGTGACGACTGATCCACCAGATGAGGCGGAAGTCCGCAAGGAACTCCAACTCTTGAAGCGTTGCAAATCACCTGACCCAGATGACTTACTTCTGGCTCTTTTTAAAGATGGTGGTGACTTTTTGGTTAGGGGACTGACGACGTTGTTTACAAAGGTGTAGGAGCTAGAGAGTGTTCCAGCATCATAGAACGAGTTGATAGTTGTCTCTATCTTTAAAAAAGGGTTCACGTCGTTCCTGTAACAACTATCGGGGGATAAGTCTGTTGGGATATTCAGGAAAATATCCCAGAAATTATCCTATTTAGCCTAATGCTATTCTTGGACTTGAACATGGTGTTATTTTCTTATTGGTCAGTACTTATTTAACGTGTCATTTTCCTACTGGCCAATATTGTATAATGTTATTTTCTATTTTATGGTATGATGTGGTTTGTTTGACTGGTATATAAACAAAGTATGTTTGAAATATAATGATTCATATATCCGAGGCTGTGACTTGCGTTCTGGACTCAACTGCTGGGCTAGATAGGGAAGCGGGACCAATCAGAACCCTAGGTCGTTCTACGTGTCTGCGCGTCTTTGGTCCGATCGATAAATTCGCTACCCTTTAATCTGCTGCTACTGTCTCACAGTTATAACAATTGGCGACGGGGTGAAAAAAACAACAATCCAAAGTCATTCTGTAATTGGACGAAATCCAGTCTAATTATTCAACCAATCAGCATCCAGATTGTCGTCACTGTCCTTGAACGACATTGGTCATTATTCACACAGTAATTTTCATCACAGGTGCTGATTCGAAAAAAATGACTCTCCCTTCCGATCGATTACAGCTGCTCTTTGAACGACATTTGGAGTTATTAGTCAAATTCCGCACGCAGCTGCTAAATCAGTCACGCTATGAAGATGCGACGGAAGTGGACGGATTGATATCTCAGTTTCACAGTGAGCTGGAAAATGACAGCCTCCATGAATCCTCGATGAACTGTACTTCAAACGAAACAGTCGTCCATGATGCGCCCGGTGGTCCAGTACTTTCTATTCCAGAAACATGCCCGGTAATGGAGTCAAACTCCATCATCCCCGTAACAGCATGTACAGACAGTAGCATATCCAGCTCACAAAAAGATCCTCTTGTTTTGCCAGAGAATGTATCACATGCATCAAACAATGGTCAGAAATCTAATTTAATTTTGATAGATGCTGTTTATTTTGGTAACGTATTATCCACTAATGGAATTTCGAAGAGATCTAATGGGAATGTTTCACAAGAATCAAACTCTAATGACCTCATATCTACTGTCGCTGATCCTCAGCATCTAGTCAGCTCTAGTGGACTCTCTACTCAATGCGGGAAATATGCTTTAAATAGAGTCACACTAACTGTTACTTGGGTATACGAGGACCCAACATTATTCCGCGGGGGAGGATAGACGCGAAGAAAATTCAAAATCCGGATATCAACACCAAAAAGGGGAGGTGTTGGGATATTCAGGAAAATATCCCAGAAATTATCCTATTTAGCCTAATGCTATTCTTGGACTTGAACATGGTGTTATTTTCTTATTGGTCAGTACTTATTTAACGTGTCATTTTCCTACTGGCCAATATTGTATAATGTTATTTTCTATTTTATGGTATGATGTGGTTTGTTTGACTGGTATATAAACAAAGTATGTTTGAAATATAATGATTCATATATCCGAGGCTGTGACTTGCGTTCTGGACTCAACTGCTGGGCTAGATAGGGAAGCGGGACCAATCAGAACCCTAGGTCGTTCTACGTGTCTGCGCGTCTTTGGTCCGATCGATAAATTCGCTACCCTTTAATCTGCTGCTACTGTCTCACAGTTATAACAAAGTCTACTTCCGATTGCGTCCAAGCTATTGGCTTCCGTCATAATTCGTAGTTTGTTCAAAACCCGAGAAAGATTGACTCGCGAGGAGCAGGCTGGGTTTCGTTCTGGTCGAGGTTGTATTGATCATATCTTCACCCTCCGCCAAATGTTAGAACATCGCCATACTTATCAAAGGCCAACAATCGTAGTGCTTCTTGACATCAGGGCTGCCTTCGATTCGTTGGACAGGACTGTTCTCTGGGATTGTCTATTGAAGAAGGGTGTGCCTGAGAAGTTTATAAACATCCTAAAAGCCCTATATACAAACACCTCAGGCAGAGTGAGGGCATACAACCACCTCTCTCCATTGTTCCATTCGAGCAGTGGGGTTAGGCAGGGTTGCCCAATCTCACCATTCCTCTTCAACTTTGCCATCGATGACATTCTGGAAACAGCTCTGATGGATGTAAGTAATGGTGGTGTGGATCTGTTGCCTGGAGAAAGACTTCTCGACCTTGAGTATGCGGATGGTATTGTCTTACTGTGCGATAATGCCCAAGGCATGCAATCCGCACTTAATCAGTTGGCAGTCAGTGTCCGTAGGTATGGTATGTGCTTTTCACCTTCGAAGTGCAAAGTACTTCTACAAGACTGGCAGGATTCTAATCCTGTACTCACCCTGGATGGTGAGCAGATGGACGTAGTCGAGAAGTTCGTGTATCTGGGTAGCTGCATAAGTGCTGGTGGGGGTGTGGGTGATGAGATCAATGCACGTATAGTGAAAGCCAGAGTAGCTTATGCCAATCTGGGCCATCTTTTTCGCCTTCGTGATGTTAGTCTGGCTGTAAAAGGTCGGATTTACAACACGTCGGTGAGAGCAGTTTTGCTCTATGCTTTTGAAACCTGGTCTCTCCGAGTTGAGGACGTTAGACGACTCTCTGTGTTCGATCATCGTTGTCTCCGAAGAATTGCTGACATCCAGTGGCAACACCATGTTAGTAATGCAGAGGTTCGGCATCGTGTGTTCAGGCACAAAGACGATAATGCAATCGGTGTCACTACCTCGAAACACCGACTTTGTTGGCTTGGACATGTTCTACGAATGTCATCCCAGAGAATTCCACGTCGTGCATTATTTGCCGACTTTGGGACTGGTTGGAAAAAGCAGAGAGAGGTAGTCAGTGCATGACATGGTGTCGTGGCATGAAAGAAAGCTGTAAAGGACAGGTTTGTGTTGGACCTTCACGACTGCGTGGTTGGGGTCTTAGAGATGGTGCATCACAGTGGCTAGAGACGTTATCAGATATGGCTCAAAATAGAAGCCAGTGGCGATCCTGCTATAACCTTCTTTTACTTTCTTCATAAAAAGTGGTTGTATCTTCCTTAACTGAAAGGTTTCTTCTGATTGTACCTTTCCGTTCCCCCATTATTACCGCTATTATTATTACACCACCTTACACCAATTTGTTCGTTATTCTCGTTTTTTACGCTCCTTACCTTTTTTTCTTTTCCCTTCTCTTTAAATTCTCATTGTTTTGTGTGGCGCATATATATTTGGTGCACTCTTGTACCAATATGTATGTGTTCAAATAAACTATCTACTAGTATCTGATCATAGGTGTCCTTCAGATAATGTTTGCCCATTTTATAACAACCGGATGGTTAAGCTTATTCTTGCTTGTTGATAAAGATACTAAACCATTTGATGAGTCTGGGAATTTTCATCAACTTAAATCGTTGTAATATATGTAGCACATACACAACTATGCACAATACTGGTGCTCCTAGAAGCAGATTAAAAGTAAGCTGGGGGTGACCAAATGAAGATATGACATCACGTTATGAATTCATTGAGTATTGTTCTCAATCGTTAGGACAGTAACAGATTTGCTTGTTGAATTTCAATTGATAATTGTGAGTGATACTTGGAGATCAGAGGTGACCTAACTCACGGTTCGTTTCATCAAATAGACATTATTCTCTATTCTGGTTGTTGATTTGTGTATTAGCTTTATCTTCGTAGGACGGATACCAAGAGAATCTTGTTGGACCATCGTTATCTTACTTCAGTGACAACACTGCCTAAACGATGTAGAAAATGTTTGTTTGGGCAGAGTATAAACGATAACGCAAAATGTGTGTTACCATTGTGAAAACACATTTTTCGGTGTGTAGTCACCTTTTATGCATACCGTTCTAGCCAATCGCGATTAATGCATTAGGTTTTCATTCTGTAGGTCACAGGTCCGAAACTCACCTCGTCTACTTTGAGTTCAGTAGCCATGCGTTATAACGAGCCCTCACACTAAATGTGTAACTCAAATCAAATACATTAAGTTGGCAAATAATTAACTTAGCTATTCTTGTCACATTTCTATATAATTTTCGATCTAACCATCAAGTGTGTCACTCTATTCTGGTCGTGTTTGTGACATTGTACACAAATACGTTTTCTTATAATAATCATTGCAGGCCTATTGTACATGTGTTCACTTCACCTGTGTATTTCTGTACACTTACTATCTTATGTATTGTACATCACTTTGTTTACTTTATTCATCGTTTATAAACTGATTTAACGAGTGAGGTTTCGAGTAGGCCGGAATGGCTTCTCTAGTGCTATGCCTATTTCTTATCTTCTGTCTACCTAAATGAACACATGAAATGTACGATTTCAAAATACTTTATTATCCGACTTGCTTTATTCCGTTAGCACTAACGCCAGTTAGTCAAAAAGCATATTATTAAGGGTCTATATTTAATTGGGATCATTGTTCGTCCTCACTTACAGTCAACTGGATGGAAGCTACAAATTACATAAAAATTATGTTCTCGAAAGTTACTTCAGTGGTAATAATATATAAAAAAGATCATATATAAGGATATGATATAGGGAGAAAGAATTAGTTGGTAGAAAGAAAGCTATAAAGTAATTTCAGTCTCACGGTTTAAGGAAAGATAAAGAGCGTATACACCCACTCCATTGTGGTCGGTTCTGAACGATGTCACTCAGAGTCTCCATCTATTGGTTAAAATAGTTGAACGCACCCCAACCAAGTAGTCTGCATCTACTAACATGACTTAGACCACAAGTTAGTGACTTTATGTACTGATGCCACTTTTTCGTTGGGCCACCCCCAACTTTCTTACATCCAACACCACTCAGCATTGCGCACCTCAGAAGTTGGTACTTGGATTAAGTTTCTCTCATATAATGGCTCGAAATAGAGGCTAGTTTAATAGTTCCATCTTAATTTTCTAATTATGTTCTTCATAACAAATAAGATAAACCTTAAATGAACAGAACCTGCCTTGACATTTTTTTGCCTACTTGAATCATTTGTTTGTAAATACTTTTCCAATTTAGAATGTTATCTTCAGATTTTGTTCACATCGCTTTGTCCAGTGTATATGTATCCTATTTCATGAAATTATCAATGAAATACTAAGTCGAAATTGTAATGATTACATTAAGTAAAAATCTTTTCACACTATTTAACAATTATATATTTTGTTCATTCTAAAAATATTATGTAGTTTCTAGTCAAATCACCATCTCGAAGACTTGGATGTGTACCAGCTGATGGTGGAGAGTTAGCTATTCAACGTCATCCATTCTTTAAAGAAATAGATTGGCAAATATTGGAAGAACGTCGTGTACGACCACCATTTCGTCCAAAAGTTCGTTCTAGAATAGATACAAGCAATTTTGATAAGGTATACAAACAAATTGATTATGGTGTTTTTGTTTTTTCTTTATATTGAACTAAATTTTGGATATCTGTAGAAGTTATTCATATCATACTAAAGTATTTAGTTTTCTTTAATACGGAATAGCCTTGATTATTGGTTTGACATGATTTCCACTTATTAAAATCATAGTTTCATGTTCTGTATAACTCTGTCGTGTTTTTTGCAATAAACATACTTTTAATTTGAATTACTTATTCAGAAACAATGTTCAACTGACCATAAGTGCCCATCTGCACAGGTTTTCCACGTAATCAATTCAGTACAGGAAAATGTAATTTACAAAGTGTATATAATAGTCTGAACAAAGTAATCGACATATCACGTCTCGGTGCTCACATCCCATCTTACGGTCAAGTAGCAGATAGGAAATTATATGCACCTACTCACGTTCCTTGTCTTCATCCAGAAAAAAAGTTGTATATATACGAATGTATATTATCAGTTTGACAATTATACCGTACTACTAATTTCAATACTCTCATTTGCATTGTAGATTTCGTGTACCATAAGAAGTGTATATCGTAACTGAATCAGATCATAGAATACAAAAGTATAGCAAATACAATTGAAAGACAAATAACTTGAATCTCATTAGTTCATGTTGGCAGTACGATATTTTAATAATTAGGCTAGAAAAAAAAATAGTTGATCAGTACTTTTTGTCTTTTGAGTTTGTCTTTTTTCAATCAATGCTCCATTTTACAGTGGAAAACTGACTAAATTTATGTCAAACCGACATCTGATCTCTACGAATTACTACTAATCTTTTTTTATTAAAAAGAAAGGTGTATACGTTTAATTTTCCAAATACCATACATTCTTATCATTTGATTCCTTACTATTTTATGTCTATGTTGATGTTGATTTAAAAACAAAAATACCATTCATTCCATGGTTGGTTTTTTTTTCACCAAGCAACGTAATGAACTTAAGATATTTACGTAAGAAATAAAGGTGTATTAATATTGCCTATCCATTTAAAATATATCCATATTTATGAGAGCTATAGATGATATTATGACCAAGTGGGTTGGTACAGCTGAAGGTAAGGAGAGTCCTCCCTCTCTCAAAGTGTTCTCATATATATACGTATATGTAGCTACTGCCAGAAAATTCCTCGTGGCGGTTTTCTTTACGAGATTGAGAGGACGAAAAGCGAATGTCCGGCGCTTAAACCGGGTTAGTGGGTACGGAGCATTGACCTAGGGGAGTAGAAAAACCGTGGTTACTAACCAATGGTTTGCATGGACTGCAGAATTCTTAGGGGGGAAACTTGGAAAGTGACCCCCTAAGAAAATCACCTGATTTTGTTTAGGTACCCGGGCAGTATACCACCACACACACGCAAAACAATCTGCGGCGCATGTATGCTTTGGTGACCCTTTGTTTAAATGAACAATAAATAAATATACTCTTATTACGCTTCCAAAGTGGTATACAAAGACAGTTAAATTATTCATCTAACAAAAATACCACCATATACTAACATATCTTGAATCAGTCTGAAGTTCCAACAGAAAAATTATTTATATTCTGATTAACTAATAAAATTATCCCCCCCTTTGTAATAGTAGTGGTAGTAGTAGTGTGAAATGTTAAATAATATTTTGAAATCTCTATTTCTATTTCAGTCCATTTTTTATTGGTTATCTGAATCTTCCTAGTGATGTTTAGGACTGCAACTGATTAGTCTCTTATTGACATATGTGCATCCTGTACGGATTGCCTCGATATTGCCTTAAGTCACAAGCATTATAAATGAAAATGATGGTGGCTAATAGAGTGGGATCTAAAACGTGCGTTTCGTTCTATTTGGGATTGGTCATCTGGATGTACCTACATCGCCGAGTTGATTTTCGCTCTTGGACTCAAATCCAGCACCGTTTGCTTCAAACGCCATCACGTTGATCACTAAGCTATTGAGTCCAGATAACCACTATCTTGTACAATGGGGTGAAGTTTTAATTCATTTTTTTCTTGGTTGTTTAAATCTTCCTATTGATGTTTAGGAATGCAATTGATCAGTTTCTTATCAACTCTGGGACTCAGGTACATCCGATTGGAAGGTCTCAAATAAGACGAAGTGCGAGTCCTGGATCCCGCTGCTATCCATCATCATATCCGCCTGTAATTTGAGTCCCGCGTGTGGGACCGTGGGTGCACACTGCTGAGTCCCGTACTAGGATGAAACAACCGTCTAGTTCTTCGTGGTTTTGAATGGTGGTCTAGCTTAGATCGATTTGTGAATTCACCTGTGAAAATACTACAATTTCCACAATTTTCCATATTGATTATAATTCTGTTTCGATTATTTTATATTAAGCTGCGTACATTTATTGTGTAGGCTGTGAAATGCAAAGTTAGTTTTAAATCATATATTTTATTCCTAATATTATTCAGTATATCATATTCAGTCGTTCTTACCTAGATTCAGCCTCATTTTTCATTCATAGTCAACTATTGCCACTACTATTAAGTTGGTTTCATTTCTTATTTGTTTAGGATTTCACTACTGAAGAACCTGTTTTAACTCCATCGGATAATTCTTCAGAATTGGCCGCTATAGCTCAAGATGTTTTTGCTGATTTTGACTGTTTTAATGTGGACTACAGTGTCATGCGATATCATACAACACGACCCAGTCAACAACAGCCATTACAATCTGTTATTGGAGGTTTATATACATCGAGTCCAACTTATCCAAACAGTGGATCTTTCGCACCATCACCACCACCATCAACTGTATTGAGTAATTCCCCCAAGGCCATGGCGGTTACTACCTGTGAAAGTAGTAGCAGTAGTCATGTTCCGTCCACTCCAGATCCTTGCAATCCTAAAACAAATTCTCCACTTTCATTTCTCGATAGTGGTACATCTTGTCTATCTCATTCATCATGTAACACTTCACGATTGACCATTCCATCTGGACAAATTAGTAATTCTTCTATTCCTCCTACTCATAGTGCACCGACTTCTCCAACCCGTTCTCATTCCAATATCACAGCTTATGGCGATAAAGCAATGACCAAATGGCTTGCTCATTGATTTAAGCTAATTCATCGCATAGTGTATCAGTGTTACGTCGTTAGTGCCATCGTCCATGACCTTGAAAAATGTTTCCTGTTGATTTCACTGAAAACTCTTATTGGATCCTGGTCCCAAACCCATTATAGTATCTTGAGTGAATATTGTCCATTCCTTCGTGTGTAGCAATAGCATATGTCAGTGTTCGTACGTGTGTGTGTGCATAAGCTCCAGTCATTTTTCTCGTGTGAACTACGTATTTCATCGACTTTTTTCTCAAACCGTGGCAATAGTAATGGTGGTAGTATTAATAGTAATCAAATACGCATTTTATCGTCTTATTATTATTATCGGTAGTACAAAACGTACATTATGTAGAGTCTTCTGTGATGGTTTTGATTTTTTTCTGTCTCCATTTTCGTCTTTTTTTTCCATTTCTCATATTGGTCAAGAAGAATACTTTATTTTATGTGTTATTGTTATATAATTCACTGATTTAATTATTTTCTCCATTTTTATGTTTTATTACAATTGTGATTAGTGTATTCTCTTTGTAATTTTATTTTACAGTTAATATTCATCAACATATATACACTATATCCTAATGAGTATCACAAATTTAATCGATTCTTTAATAACCCCTATATAATCTGTACATGTATATGTATTCGCATTTACATATAACAATAAATGCTTATTGTCATAAGATAATTCAACAGGTAAATAAATGAATTGACCAAAACCATTTACTTACTATTGTTTATGAATAATATTCTTTTTTCTTTTCTGTTTTGTTTTTGCATTTCACTCTGTGTTATATTTCTTTCTGTTTTTTCAATATGTGTATTTGTTTCAAATAATAAAAAACTTTCAATGAAATAATAATGATAATTAGACCAATCTTATTGATGTTACTGATATGATTATGTCCTTCAATTATATTAAATATATGTTCAATTTCTTGGATTAAAGCAATTATTAAATAACAGTGAATATTTTCCCATTACTAATTAAAATAAACGTTTCCTTCCTCCGCTTCGACCAGTTATTTGTGTATGTTTATGTGTATGTGAATCAGCTAAGCATCCCTTGTGAATTTACTAATTATCATTAATGCATATAATAATATTACTCAATATTTGCCTTGTTATTATTTCTCGAAAATATGCATATATACTTCTTATTTCTGTACTACTTTTACTACTGTTAACGGTAAATAGTAGTAGTATCATAGCTCTCTCATTTCATTACCATTTTGTAAATGTCTTCTTTGGAATGTTGCTTGTTTTATTTTTATTATTTTTTTTGCCAGTTATTTCAAATGTTGTCATGGTTGTTTATTTTCGTTCTATGGAAGAATTGTGTTTTACTCATATTGTTTCCCATGATTTCTTAACTTTTTGTGTATTTTAACTTGTAACTGTCATGATGCATCATTTTGGAATTATCGATATTTATTTCAGGAGTAAAATTGCATTTTTATGTTGTTTTTTTCTCAGCTTTATTATCTCTACAATAATCTAGTTCTATTATTGCATTTCCCCCTTGGTTATCTTCAGATGGATTCTAGACAAATTATAGTATGGTTTATTATTGATAATGATTCTTTTGTTGATGCGATTTCCATATCATGACTTTGTTTTCTTTTTCATCAATTTTTTTTACAAAAATATGTCCAGTGGAACCAAGTATTATCTGTGTGTTTGTGTGCGTCGATGACTGGGAATCTCTTGAAGATCATGCTTCCATTTATCTCATTCTTTGCTCGCTCCGAATTTATCCAACTAGACGAATTCTGCTTTTCTTCCTAATAATAACTTATTGCATTTTTCGATTTCGTAGATTTATATATATATCTCCCAAAGTATTCTATTTCAAGATTTTATCTGTTCATTTTCTATGCATGAAGTCTAGTCGTTTTATCAATAGGTAAAACTTATCTGTGAGACTTACCTCCTTCCCATTAAACAATTTTTATGTCCATTTTGTGTAAAATCCACTTCTTATTACTTATCTCCTCTCTTCTTTCCCTTACAATCTTAAAATTGGTCATGTTATGCATAAAAATATTTTCTGCTCTTGAACCTTCTTTCATAATGAGATCATGTAATTGTATTGATTATTATAAAGCTGCATTGTTTTTCCTTCTTCTTCTTATACATCATTATTACACTTGAACTATTTCAATCAGTCAACCAGTTTGTTTGTTAATTTGTCCACTACTTCATCATTTTTATACGTATTATGTCTTGTTGATATAGTTGCCTAGCGCTCACATACATACATTCTTTATTAGATTATTTGTTGTTTATTATTATCATCATCATCATTGTCTTCATCTCCCCTTTCTCTCTCTGTTTCTCTGGCTACACTCATTATTATTATTGTTACTATTATGATTATCATAACCAACAATTGTGTTTATTAGCCTGTCCTTTATATTTATCATTATGCACTTATTAAAATCAGTATATTCACTTATTATGAATAATAATATTGTTATAATTATTTTTATGTTGCTTTTTTTTCCATGGAAATCTTTATTTTTTTTTGGCTTTTGCTTGAATTCTCTTTTTCTTCCCCCCCCCCCGCTCCTCTCTTTTCTGGTGATGTATTGTATGCATTTTATATTTTTAGAAAAACAAAAAAAAATTTTTTTTTTGGTGTTTAATTTATTTGTTAGTTTTACTTAATTTATTGATTTATTAGTTTCTGATTTCATTTCTCAAATCATTTTGTTTATTTATTTGTTTATCTTTACATTATTTTTGTGTTTCATTTTTGCTGGTCAATATTATAGAAAAAGAATATATATCTATAGAATTCTATTGTTGTTATTGGTAATTTTTTTGTTTGTTTATCAAAATTTTTTCGATTTGATCTCTTATGTAGGATTTAAAACGGTAACCTCCTTTATCCCCACCCCTGTCGTCACTCCAGCACAACATATATATGTAATTTTTTTTAAAATAAAAAAGATGTAAACGACAAATATAATGTGAATGCAAATTTACACTTGACTTTACATTGACTCGAATAGTTTTTATGTATATTCATTTCAATGTGTACTATCATGTAAGTCAATCAGAATAAAACTTCTAATATGGTGATAACCTTGTGTATACATTGTTAATTATTAATATTTCATTGTTGAATAATGAAATGATATATAAATATATGTATTTGCTTATACATACCTGCATAAACTTAACAAACGTTTTGTTTTCGTGTTATGAGTCGTTGATTCACTACCCCCCCCCTTCACACACACATACACAAACTCCATCTTCTATTATTTTCTGTTCAGTTTCCAGTTTTCCTTTTTTTTTGTCACTATTTTAACTCTCGTTTATTTATACATATTGATTTGTGCTTGAGATTGTCTTTACCAGTTATTATTGGCTTGATTCAATTATTTTCATTCATCTATCTTTGTTCTTCTTACCTTTGAATGATAATTATTTTATTATTATTATCAGTAATAATGATAACTATGACCAGTAATTATATAGAAGTTATTTTGATTTATTGAATTTTAGAGAGGAAAAAAAAACCCGTTGAATTAGATACCGATAAACATAATGATATAAGCATGCAAATTTTGTAGTGTATTTTTAGTGTTAATACACAACTTCATTTCTTCTTTTTAATCCTTCACTCTCTATCATTGTAAGAGTTAGTTACTTACTTACGCCTGTTACTCCTCGTGAAGGAGCATAGGCCGCTCACCAGCAATTGTAAGAGTTAGAACAGTATATTAGTCATATATTTACTGTTAGAACATAAAATTAACTAAACTATAATTTGGAATAGTAGTTATAGAGGTTTACCTAGAACAGAGTTGAATGGAGAGTGCTAGTGAGCTGGTTATGTCACTTCACAAAGGGTAATAGGTGTAAGTATAAGTAAGAAATTATAGAGGTTGTTTAATAAGTTAAATGACGAAAAATCAGTTTAATTTTATGGTCTCGAAAATTTAAAAAAAATTGTCAGTATTCTCAAACAACTAAGTTAAATATCTACTAACATTTCGTTCAGTTCCACTTATCCTTTTCGTGTTTGTGTTTTAGAGATTTTACGAATGTTGAATATTTTGTTCGTACATCTATGTGTATTCTTTAAACTTTCATGAAGGGGGGGTGATCCATCAAGTATGTTTTTACTTCAAATTAACTTGACAAAGAAGTTTCCCTATGTATAGATAAATGAAATAGATTATTGTACAGTTGTATGTACGTTCAGATTATAATATCCTATGAGTATAACTAGTGAAACATCAGCAGAATGTAATAATTTTCAGTTGAAAACAATGATGCCTGATAACAGCAAACATCTAATAGGATAATAAGTCAATAAGAAAGAGTATGATCAGATTACCCACATAATTAATGGAGTTCTGAATCGATAGCTTAAGGGTTAACATTCGTCTTTCAATCAATTGGTAGCAGGTTCGAATCCCTCCATGCCTTTCACTTTTGCCATTGTTTGTCTAGTTAACGAAATGGATTAGTTATACTTTATCTTTTTTTCACTTAGGTTGGAACAAACAGATTTTTATTTCTGTCCACACTGCTTATAAAAGTAATATATAATCTGTCTGTTCCGAGTCTAACAAATCTCCAGATTGAAGATGAACCCTTGAAATGTACAGAAATGAATTACTTTCAGTGACATGGCAAAGCTTTAAAAAAATATAGAGGGTGATAAACGCTACATTTTCGATTGAGATCATGAACCGATTGATGTTAGACCACCATTGAAAACCTGGAAGCAGTGGAACTAATCCATGTCGGGTAGAAACAGGCATCTACCTCAGTACAATGGAAGATGGTGGCGCAACTTGGTTGAGGTTAGACATTAAAACCATTGGATGTTGGCCCGCTCAGTGGTCCAGTAGGTTAAGCGTCTGCGCGCGAGACTGAAGGCCCTGTGTTCGAATCCCACGAGCGGGATTGTGGATGTGCACTGCTGAGAAGTCCCATAGTAGGACGAAACGGCCGTGCAGTGCTTCCAGGTTTTCAATGGTGGTATAACACCAATCGGTTCATGATCTCAATCAAAAAAACTTAGCAATCTCCACAACCCCTGAACTGATAAGTACTAATTTTCATAGCCGCTTCATATGAGAGTTCACTACCAATCGTATTATTTGACTTGGTATTCGAATCTAGTTAGACTCAGTTTACCGTTTGCCTGATCATAAAGTTGACATATATCTCAAGGATTCTTAGTTTCGAATAATGTGTTCTTGCTTACTAAAATTTGAATAGTAGTAGTCATACAGATTGTAAGTCAAGATTGGTCTTACGTAAAGACTAGTTCAAACAAATTTTATCGACAAGATCGTAATCCGTACAACTCGTAATCAAATCACAAAGAAATGTTAATAGATAGTTATGAAACATGCATGACATAGAAAATAATACAATACGAGGTCGGTAATCTATTTGGTATTGTTCGCTTGAGTCTTCTCGTTGTTTAAGACTGCAATTGATCAATCTCTTATTGGCATATGTGCATATTCCCTTAATTCACAAGTATTATAAGCAAAGATGGATAGTGGCTAGCTTTGTAAGCAATACCAAGTGAATTTATACTTCACCCCATTGAACAAGCAGGTGGCTATCAATACTCAGTAGCTAAGTTGATAACGCGATGGCATTTGAAGTGGACGGTACTGGGTTCTAGTCCCAGAGTGATCGTCAACTGTGGGATGTAAATACATCCAGCTATTGAGTCCCGAATAAGACGGAACGCGTGTTCTAGATTTCACTGCTAGCCACTATCCATCGTTACCTATAAAATCAGTAATCATTTCTCAGGTCACCGAAGAAAATCTCAATAATGTTTGTATGTGTTCTAATTAATGAAAAGACAGAGATGAATAATTTAGGTCAAGCATAACAAAATAACATTATACAATATGAGAATGAGTTGAATTGTAATGAGAATTGAGATGATGACATGTATTAATAGAGTTGAATATGATGAGAAATTGAGTTTTCAATAGAGTAATGAACAATGATGGTATTGTTTTAATGCGAGTAATGAAATGAAACATTGTTTTGTTGTTAATTTTTTCGTCATTCAATGATTTTAGTCTAAATCGATTTGTCCAAGTTTAGGTTATAGATAGTTACTCGCGATCCTGATAGCTTAGTGGTTGCGTCTTTGACCATATAGCTCGGAGCATCAGTTCCCTCAGGATTACAAGCATGCCTTGATGACGACTGCGCGATATGGAATGTGTTCGGATGACATTCCTAAAACATACTTAAGTCACGGAAGTCAGTGTTTCAAGATAGTAAGACTAACAGAACTACTATCAATGACAACAAACACATTCCCGGACATCAACATTTCTATCTTTATGGCATCACTGGATGTAAGCAGTCCTTTGAAGATATAGATAGTCGAATACCAAAAGTCACTAAACAGCTTCATTTCGAAAGAATCTGATTTCAAAAATATGGAGCAGGATTGATCTCATCATGTACCCAATTTCACATAGCCAGAATATTGTATCAACTCCCCAAAAATAACCGAGACTTGAACAAATCGATTTAGACTAAAATCATTGAATGACGAAAAAATTAACAACAAAACAATGTTTCATTTCATTACTCGCATTAAAACAATACCATCATTGTTCATTACTCTATTGAAAACTCAATTTCTCATCATATTCAACTCTATTAATACATGTCATCATCTCAATTCTCATTACAATTCAACTCATTCTCATATTGTATAATGTTATTTTGTTATGCTTGACCTAAATTATTCATCTCTGTCTTTTCATTAATTAGAACACATACAAACATTATTGAGATTTTCTTCGGTGACCTGAGAAATGATTACTGATTTTGTATTGTTTTATTTTCTATATCATGTATGTGTATACATATGTGAGTATGGATCATTTTAATTGAATAATTTTCTATAATATATTAAATTCTGGTTAATTCAAAGATGAAATATTATATTGATATTGTTGGGTTGGAGAATGCTGGTCGATGGCTTATGCTCTACTAGGAGTAACAGACGTTAGTAAGTAAATACTGTTGAAACTATCGTCTTGGTTAGATGAAGAATTGTAATTTGAAACTCTGTTTGTAAACGTACATAACACTAGATGGAGTTTGATTCAACACTTTAAGATCCCAACAGCTTTATTACGTTTTATTGGCCAGTACTCGTAGAAAACCTTAAGCAACCAATACATAGGAAGGATAAGGGATGCCGATATTCTATGCTTGATAGTTGTCTCAATACTGATTAGCTCTAAACAAAGAGGAAGAGAACAAGACCAATAATCACCAGTCCAAGATCGTTAATGTTATAACTTGTACCCTGTTAATATACCACGCGATACGATCGCCAATTAGGATCACCGATTTATTGCCCTGACTAATGACGTATGAACCAGTACGAGCAACTCAGAGTTCTTATTGGTCCTTGAGATAATAGCTTCTGGTCTAACCTAGCCGATTCAGTCCAGAACGCAAATATCAGCCTTTGTTATATGGAATCATAGATTTCAAACATATTTGGTTTATGTACAAGCAAAATCAGACCATATCACACCATAAAACAGAAAATAACATTTGTAAAAGATGAAGCCCAAAGAGGCTGTGATTGTGAAAAACTAACTAATAGATTGAGAATATTAAAACATATAACAGTAGCCATTAGGTCAGTCCCTGAATACTTTGGTACGGCCGAGAATGGGGAGTCAGCTCTTTCTCACTAAATGCTCTTAAATGACTACGCGTATACAACCACTACCAGGAAAGTCCTACTCACTGCCTTCTCGCGGCGTATGAATCAATCGCTGACCACCGGCTACCATGACACTGCATCTCCTGACGTTATTCCACTTCCTTGTGGATCAAATTTTTAGATTGAAGTCTCCGTGTGTAGCCCTCTAAAAGAACCACATGCTTCAGTTTGGGCACCCGGGTAGTATCATAGCCCATACATAAATCAATTGACTTTGTGTCTCATATATATGTATAGGGAAGCTATACATATAGATTCTGGAATATTCTTCCAAAAGATGATTGTATGGACTATCTTCGGCTCTTTCTGAGCTCATTAGAGCTTCCTCAAGTTCACCCGTGAACCGTCCTCACAATTATGATAACAATAATGATTTCAGCTATCTTCAAACTTCAGACATTACCAATTATATATAAGTATCCTACACTCATAGATATCAATTAATGCGAAACAAGCTATAGGTTTGTATACTTTCCTTTTAGTAAACAAACAAATATCTCGCTTATACTTTATGTGAAGGCTTTTAACATCTGTAATGTACATAGTCAGTCAGTAAAAGGTCAGTTATTTTTCCAAGAGACAAGTAGTTACTTTTTAAATAAGTAGCCCAGTAGTTGAAATTATTCTTACTCAATGTTTACACTCATACTCTACTGATGAGCATTACCAAGTGTAAAACCTTGGATTGCTATTTTTGTAAGTATTAACTTAGGCAATCATTTAATAAGCTAAATACAATTCACTCTACAATTCTTGGTTTATTGTCATTTAAGACTAACAGTATATCAGTTCGGCAAATAAGCTGTCAGTTATAATACTGATTGATTACTCAGTAGTAACCAATATCATGTTTGTATAGCCCTTCTTATTTCTGGTCAAATTCTATTAATTGAGTTTAAACGTGGCTACCAGTCTAATTGACTCAAAATCGCATCACAGACTATGAATCTCTGTGAAACATGAGCGAATCTACCAGGGAGCACCAATTCCCTCACAACTATAGGTACACCTTGCCAACGAGTCTACAATAGCATGTAACCCTGGTCCAAAGTTTCTTATCAATCATCTTTAAACATTCGAAAAGTATTAGTTCCATTTAGTTTGGTGGAATTATTCTCTTAATATATACAAATACCTTTCAATTTTAAATATACAGAAGCTCAACGTACAATGAAACTGTTATATCCCGATAAGAATAATGAATGGTAACTTTTGGGATCAATTTATGGACCAATACTATGCGTATATTTTTATCGTATAATTGTTAATCAACTAAACTATTCATATTCATATCTCTCTTATCATAAGCTTTATTTTAACCTAT